TAGTTTCCCCTACCTTTACATAGGATTTTATACACTGTACTTTTTTTAAAGTTAATATGTTTAAGCTTTCCATCAGTTACTTTCATCTCATCTAATCCTGTCATAGTCACACATTTGCAATGTTTTCCAATTAACTCCCAAATGTCCTTTACGGTAATTTGTCGAAACTAATAAGGAAGCTGGGGCTATGCTTTGTATTTGGTTATGATGTCCCCTATGCTCCTCTATAGCAATTGTGACTTTCTCATTCTCGTTTAATCATATTGGCTCGATGAAGGAGACCTGGCCCGCTGCCTGCAGAATGCCTCACTCCTCTCCTGGATGTTTCTGGTTCCTTCCTCCTCGTGTCCTTTAGTTTGTTCCTCTGTCTTCAGCATTTCCTGGGAATGGATTTCTTTGGGGAGGCAGGAAGCAAACATTTACTAGGTTGGGCTATATACTCACTCTTGTGTTAGTCTGGGTAGACTAGAAAAACAAATTCATAAGTATCATATGTGTATAAGAAAGAGCTTTATATACAAGAGCAATTGAATATTGAGAAAACAACCGGATCAAGTCCATGAGTCCGCTATTAGCCCATATGTCCAATATCAATCTGTAAAGTCCTCTTCAGACTCACACAACACATGCAATGACGCCGAATGCAGGAAGATCACAGACCAGTGGGTGGAAAGTCTTGTGGATCCAGTGGCAGTGGAAGCATCTCAGTGCTGGCATGGGTCTCCACGTGGCTCCTCCAGCTCCAAGGCCCTGGCTGCCATCAGCATAGCTCCATGTGGCTTGTCAACAGGAATGTCTCACAGGAAGTGAACATGTGTTCTGCCTCCAGCCATTATTTATCGCCTTAGCCCCTCCAAATGAGGTCATCAAGCTGCGACCTGACTGACAGGCTAGACTACCCCTTCACTCCTAAGTCTCAATATTGACAATAGACTTTGTAACTACCACAGTCACAACCCACCAGAACTCATCTATCACGAGTGATTCCAGGACACAGGTGACGATTCCTCCCACATAGTTAAGAATTCTGGCCTCAACTCCACTGTGTTGATCACTTGGCACTGTGCAATGTCCAATTTGCCATCACCCATTTCACCAATTACTAAGCATTGCCTGAATCAATTTTATTCGGGGTCACAAAATGCTATTTCCCAATTTGATCATTCCATCTACATAAGGGGCCCCGGGAATGTAATGCTCACGTGTTCCCTGCGATCCCCAAGGTTGGTGGTTTGATACACCAACTGCTCCTTGGGAGGCAAGATGGGGCTTTCCACTCTCCTACAGAGTTAGTCTCTGGGGAGGGAGGGAACAAAGAGGAGCTGAGTGGAAGGGCTCAAGTAGAAAGAAAAGGTTTTGAAAATGATGATGGCAACATATGTATGAATATGCTCAATGTGTGGATTGTTGAAAGGGCTGTAAAAGTCCCCAAGAAAATGATTTTTAAAAAAGAGTTAGTCTCAGAAACCCACACGGGCAGTTCTAAACCCAGTGCATTTGGGACAAGAGTTAGCCTGTGGGCCACCAACTTGTGACCTCCAATCTAAGCCAAATGATGTCTCCCGGTGTCCTTGCTCGGCCCCTTGTGGCATTTTGCTCCTAACATTCGATGACTGCCCTTGTTGATAGGCTGCTTGTCATCTTCTCAAGGCATCTGTGTGTCCATTTGTCCCCCTGGATAGACGGTCGTCGGTCCAGGGCAGGGACTCACCTTGCAGCATGGTTCTTCGGCCTCAGCTAATATACTTCTACCGCTGCTTTGGTCCCTGCTAATTCTGGTTACCTAATTAAATAAATGACCCACTTACATGAACCGAACGTTTTCATTCTTTTTATTTTTTAAGTTTTCCTTCTTGTCTCTTGTGTTCCTGAGCTTTCCCACGACAACGTCCCTCCTCTGTCGGACATGATGGAGAGTTGGCAGGTCAATCTCCACAGCATCACTCTGGGGTCCCTGTCATGGAGTGGGTGGGAGTAAGTTATGCATCTTCAAAAGCTGGAAAGTTGTCTTTAACTTCTAGTATTCAGCTGTGTTCCACGTTCTCACTCATGCCCCCCATCTCATTTGTACGATGAAGTGACTGTGTTAGGTAATTGCTAAATGTGTGCTGTAACCATCGAGAATGCAGCCTAATTAGTACTCTTTAAAAATGAATATATATAGTGGGTAGCCCTGGTGGCGTCGTGGTTCCTCGATGACTTGTTAACTGCAAGGTTGGCAGTTTGAAACCACTGGGGACATACAGGAGGCCTTCTGCTCCCATGAAGAGTTACCGTCTTGGAAACCCACAGGCCTGGTTCTACTCTGTCCCATGGGTTGCTGTGAGTCGGCACTGACTAAATAAAAGGAAAAAAAAATGAATATACATATATTTACAGTTCCATCACTTCAAGCAGAACTGTACTATTGCTACCACAATCAGTTTCCAAATATTCTTTTTCTACATGGACTCCTTGACATCCCCTTCACCACCACCCCTTCACCATTGTTCCCTCCTCCCCCCAAAATCCTTATTCTACTTGCTGTCTCTATGGGCTCATCAACCCTGGGTTTCATATATCTAAAAATGGGAAAACCTAACACAACCTCCAGAGGGTGACCTCAAATGACATGACACCTCTGAGACACACCCTATTTGGACAAACAAAAACCAACCCATCCCATACAAACCCGACCAGGTCCAGCGTGCATCGTAGGGGGAATCCACTGACAGTTTTAGCTGTTCCAGTCGGATTTGCCCCTTTGATCTTCTGCACGCATCTCCCCAGTGCACTCTGTCTAGTGCCCACTCTCCTCCCACCCTCAGTTGTATGGGGAGTTCTCCGGAGACGTATTCCCTATGTGGTTCCACAAGCGAATCTTGGGCTCCTGCTGTCAGCCATCGCCTTCTGCACACCGGATTCTCACAATTTGCGCTCTGGTACTGATCCCTCCTTCGACTTCGGATCGTATGGGTTCCAATCCTTCGGTGACTGATGATGGTGTGCTTCTTCCATGTGGATTTAGTGGGCACCTCAATTAGATGGCTGCTTGTTTGGAAACAGGCCTTTACAACCCCAGACGCTATTTTATCTGCTAGCTGGGCACCATTCTTCGCCACATTTTGCTACAGCACCCATGTCTTCTATGTTTTCTTCTTGAGGGCGAGGATCAAGATGCAAGAACTAACTGTTCTTAAGGTAACCAGTACCCTTTAATAGGTATTCCTCAGGACACCATCACTCCTTCTTTGGATGGTACTAGGAGCCCATCACACAGGTCAGCACTGCCCTTCCTTTCCAAGGGTGGCCAGGTTTTTCGTAAAGGAGGACCCACAGTGGACAGAATGAGGACCCTGCTACACTTGGACTGCAGTAGCCTTTATGTCCTCATTAGTTAACACTCTGCTCAGTATGTGCCACGTCAAACCACAGGGCTGGGTGGGACTGGGGGAACTCTTCCTCTGGGACTCCCTAGGAGAGGGCCAAGTGACCCTCCGCTTGCTCTGGGGTATGCATGCCTCTGAAAAACAATGCAAAACACAAATTCCTTAGCTCCCCTCCCCTACCACCCCCTTCCTCCTCTCCACTTTCCAGTCCTTTCTGTAGTTCAGTCTCAAGGACCGCACCTAACTGGCTTTATATGCCTGGAAACAGCTCTCTCTACTTCCGCCTGGACAGAGGGCAGTCGGCTGGGATGTAGATGAAATCTCAGCCATTTGCCTGCGGCCTGGAGAGGCCTCCGAGGTGGAGGTGGTGGGGAGGCAGTCCAGACCCTCCATAAGGCGGAGAGGGGGCCATCAGCAGCCTTGTCCTTCAGGAATGGGCCTGGTCTGAGCCTGATCCCTGTCTTGGGACCCTCCTTTGAAGAGACTCCTAACTCCCCCACTCACTCTCTTTCTCCATTTCTTGACTATTAGCTGTTGATGAGAATCAGGCAGCAGGGGGGCTCATAAAGTCCACCTTTTGCTCTATCCTTGGCCTCCTCCCACAAAACGTACGGCGCAAATCAACAAAACGTATGGCGTAAATCTTTCGCCATCAAGTGCAAACCGTGAAGCCCCCACTACTAAGGATAAGCCCCCACTACTAAGGATGAGCCCTCCCTAGCAAACAGGAAGCCCTGCTCTCCGACAGATCCCTAGGTGATGAAGTGGAGCCGGGCTGCTCTTCTGGGTCCCTCCTCCTCAGATGTCATCCTTGCTCCCCACCCCACCCCAGGCAGATGGGTGGGAGAGTAGCCCCAGTGGCCACAGCAGTTTGGGTGCCCCAAGGCTGGGAAAGAGCAGCAGGGATGAGTCAGCCAGGTCAGGGATGGAGGAATGGAAGCACATGACTGGAGTAAGAAACCAAGGAATGTGGAGAGGGCAGGTCTCCAGAACAGGATGCACTTGCTTCTCTGGCCCCCCCACCCACCTCCCCCCATCCCCGGCAGCCAGTCTGGTGTGGACCGGTCTATCACAGGGTTTTTTTCAAATCACCCTCCCGGTATGGCCACTCAGCACTGGTCCTTAGTGGCCCATCGTCACGGGGTTTCTACGGACTGAACCAGCACAGTTCAGAAGCAACCCTAGCTGCCATGCTGTTTCAGACCGTCCACCCCTCCAACAAAACAGCGCCTTCCTCCGTCTTGCTCTCAGCCGTCTGGCTCCCTCAGAGGGTCTTCTATGCCATTCCCAAGAGAAGCCACAAAGGCAGCTTTGAATCACCCCCAAACTGGGGGTGGGGACACAGCCCTCACCACCCCGGGACGGCAGAGAATGAAGACGAAGCATCAAAGAGCAACAGAACTTGTCGAAAACCAATTCACCCGGAACCATTTACTCTAAAATATTTACGGCAACTGAGCAGACTCGCCTTTTTTACTCTGTCTTCGTCTGTGTTAACCTTCTTAAGGGACTCTGCCACGCCTCCTGCTTGTAAGCGTATGCGGCCCTGAGCAGCAGGGCCAGGAGTGAGATCCCTTACATTCTTCAAGGGATCAATGTGTAAAGAATTTAGAAACAAAGGGATACACAAACTATCTGTAACGAAATATATTTATTGCTAGAAACATCAAAACTTTTTTTTTAAGTGTTTGAAAATAGACACAGGGGTGGGGGGTGGTGGGAGGAGATAGGAAACCATTTCATCATTTACAAGGTGCTGCAAACCTGATACAATTTATAGTAACTCAGAAGTACTCTTGGAGAATAGATACAAATCTGTGGGGGGAAGACAAACAAGAGGAGGCCGCCTAAGTGGATATAAAAGCACCCAAAGGGGGGCTGAGCTTTAGGCAAGTAATTTAGGGTCCTTATGTGAACTGAACATTCAGCAAACATATTCTCAGTGATTGATTGGCTTGAAGCAATCTAGCTCTAGAGAACTGTTTTTAGCTAAATTGACTCAGAACTCAATCAGGATGGTTTGCTCCCCACCCCACCCCCGGGACCCCAGAAGTGTGGCACTGCAGTAGATATAATCCTGGGGTTCTTCTGAGAGCTGGTAGGCCTAGAGGGATGAGCTCAGCTGGGTAGCCACAGGAGGGATGGCACCAGGTGTGCATTTGGGCCAGAAGCTCAGGAGCGTGCCAAGCCTGCAGCTCCCTGGATGCCCCACTATTACTTCGCCAGCTGAGGAGGAGAGGAACCAAGGCTAGGCACCACCCCCGCCTCCCCCAGACCCACGTGAGTTCCCTGAGAAGCAGGCCCAGCCCAGCTGCCTGCGTGCCCGCAGAGGGGCTGCCCAGCACTGCCCCTTGGAGGGCACAGGCCGAGCGCACGCACTGGTGGATCCAGGCTGCAGCTCTGCTCGCGTCCAGATGCAGAGCTCAGGCTCTGTGGCAGGGCCCTGGCTGGTCCCTTGCCCTACAGGGGGGTGCCAAAGACAGGGGAGCTCCCGCGATGCCCCTTCACTCTGTGCCACCCAGAACATCGCTCGACTCGTATCCAGGCACAGCGAGACACAGATGAGACTCCCATCTTCAGAACGCACCCGACCCTTCCTCCCTGTGTGTGACTGACCGTGTGGCCGCGGCACCCAGGCCGCACTCCTGGCTCCCTCCGGGCAAGGCCAACCAGCCCCACTGGCAAGGGGATGGGATCATCGGCACCACCCCCGCGGAATGTTGCAATCTTTGGGTCTCTGGCCCGAGGGCCCTCCCCGAGGACTCTCCTCCCAGGCCCGTGGTGCCGAGTGCATTCCTGGCCGAGGCTCGCCTGAGGGGTCCCCCGGCCAGGGGCCCTCGCCCGTCCAGTGGTGAGGAGGGCAGCAGTGACGTCAGTGGTGAGGAGGGCAGCAGTGACGGTGGCAGCAGGTCAGATGTAGTTGGTGGGGGGCTGTCGGGCGCTGAGGCGCTGCATGTGACAGCCGTGACAGAGCAAGTGCCCATCCAGGGGGAAGCAGCGGCAGCCCTCCTCGTCACTCAGCTGCATCCGGCAGTCCTAGGGAAGGAGGACACCGGGATCGGCCCAGACACCGGACACAGGACGCCTGCCCTGCTCCCCACTGGGCTCCTGACCCCTGAAAGCAAGGTTTGGGGAGTGAGGGATCCAAAGGGTTGGACTCCAAGCGACACCTAGGGAAAAATACCTCGGCCAGACACCAGGGGTCGCTGCAGCAGCAGAAATAACGAGCGAGGGCCTATTTCTAGTAGCTAACTGGAGTCTCTTAGCCCTGCAGTCATGAGTCTGGGGAAGCCAGATTCAAAGGGAGACTCCGTCAAGAGCCAGAGCAGGGTGAAAAAGAGATTGGTGAAATGAGAGCACCCCCCCTAGTTTCCCATGCTCTACATCTGTCTATACTAGGGCTCGACCCCCGACCCCACCCCCAACCGCCAGGTAGTTTCAAGTCAGGAAAGGTGTGCCTGCCTCCAAGGGGGTTCTTTTTCACCATGCTTATTCAATCGATATGAGAAGCAAATAATTAATCCAAGAAGCTGGCCTGTTGGACGAAGAAGGCGCCATCAGGAGTGAGAAAGACAACTTCCTGGGCGCAGATGACACCCCCCAGCCCCCACCCCTCGATGATGCTGCCACACCGGGAGCACGGCTCTCCTGGTGAGTGCAGGAAGTGGCGGTCAAGAGAGCAATGTGTTGCATGGGCACACCTATTACCAAAGACGCCTGAGAGGTGCCGGAGAGCTGGGAGGCCACCTGACCCCAAGCCCTGTGTTTTCCATGGTCTCGTGTGCGTGAGAAAGCTGGGGAAGAGCTGGCGCCGCTGGACAGCGCTGCTGGTGAAGGGCAGTCCCGATCCCGTGGGCTGCCAGAAGACGGAGTGAATCTGTCTTAGAAGAAACAGTCAGGGTGCGCCTCAGGAGCAAGGGTGGCGGGACTTGGGCTCATGCGTGTCGGGACATGTTAAGAGAAGAAGCCAGTCCCTGGAGAAGGACATCATGCTCGATGAAGTGGAGGGTCCTCAAAATGGAAAGACTGACCACAGTGGCTGTGACGATGGCCTAAAACATTGCAGGGATGAGGAGGGTCTCACAGCAGTAGGCGGGGTTCCATTCTGCTGAACAGGCGGCTGCCAGTCAGAACCCCTGGCCAGCAACCAACAAAAGCCACCATCCAAACCAAGTTCCCTGCCCCAGTCCTGGCTGCCAGCACTCACTCACCTCACAGTGGTAGCACTCAAAGTGGTAATCCCGGTCCATGGAGATCACCCTCACAATGTCCTCGCAGCCCTGGAACACACAGATGCCCGAGGGTGACCGAGGGAAGAGCGTGCACAGGACCCCAGCCCCTGGGCTATCATCCACAGCCTTGGGGCGTCCTCAGTGGGCTGACCTCTCGTGTCCCTCCAGCTGCTGCTGCGCTGACGCGCTTGCCCCCACCTGGCCCCAATCTCTCTCTGCACAGGGTCTGGGCTCTACCTACCTCTGCCAGCTGCAGGCCAAGCAGCGGAAAGGGAGGGCAGGCAGCGGGAATGAGGCAGGCTAAGCTGGGGGCCAGGTTCTGGTCCCTCGTGGCTTGGGGCTGGTCCCTCCCTCCTTAGGCACACTCTGCCATTTCTGGGCCCCTCCCACCAGCTTCACCCCACCCTTTTCTAGCCCTCCAGTCGGGGACTCTGTCGGCCCTGGCCTCCAAGCCTCCTCTGCTGGACTAGGATAGAAGAAGTGGCGCCTGAGACCAAGGGGGTTGGGAGACATGGCCGGGCCGGCCGGATGTGAGGGTCAGAGTGGTGACCGAGAGTAGAGTCACACGGGAATCTTCCCAGAGCACATTCCTCGGCACCACTGCTTCTGGCAGGAGGCCAGGCAGCCCAGCTCTGTCCCTTCCCCAGAGATAGCGGCACTCAGCGCTGCTGGAGAGCCCACAAACACTGACCTCTGAGGGGAGGATGGGCTGGCCACAGGCTGCACACTTGGGGGCATAGTTTCTGTGAGAGAGAAGGGAGAGATGAGCTGCGAGACTGAGAACCCACAGGGCATCGCGGGGCAGGGCGCGGGGTGGGGGACGCACTTGTGGTAGTCGGTGACACAGTACACCTGGTTGGAGAAGTCCACCGTGAAGGGGATGCCATCCAGGCACTTGTTGCAAACGATGCACCGGAAGCAGCCCGGGTGATAGGACTTCCCCATTGCCTGCAGGATCTAGCATGTGGGGGAGAGGGGAAGCTCTGTAACTACCCATTACACTCACTACCTGTGGCCACCACCAACTCCTCCAAGCCTGCCACCCTCCCCAAACAACCCCAGGGAGGTGGAAGGGTCAGAGGAGATTTGAAATGGAGACAGCACATCCTGTCTCCTGGCTTCTCCCCACTGGCCGCACCTGAGGGGCTTTCAGAAACCACCAAGGCACCCAAACCACAATCCAGACAGGTTCGGAATCACAACAGCAAGCCTGCATGCCCCACCCATGACATCACACTCCGGCAGCGGGGCAGACGCAGGCATTGGTAGTACTAGTATTTTAGCTCTTCCTAGGTGAGCTGCTGGCTATCCGGGGCTAAGAACCACCGATCTAATCTCTCCTGTTTACAGGAAAGAAAGCTGAATTCCACTCGGCCAGCTGACAGTCAAGAAAGAACTACGGCCCAGGACCCCAATGCCTGGATCAGATGGCAGAATTAGGGGGAGGGGGCTAGGTCATGGATGGGGGAGGGGGTTGGGTCATGGACGCTGGGGATGGCAGGACTGGGAGGCCGAATGATGATCCGGTGGCAGAAGGAACCCAGTGTCGGCAGGCGGGCAGGAGGCGATGTCTCATTGGCTCTCTGCCCGTGCAGCCCCCCAGGCCCTCCATCCCCGAGCCCAGCTGCGGACACCTTCCTTACCTTTTCCAAAATCAAGTGACCACACACGCAGCATTTCTCAGCTGCCTCCTGAAACCCTGAAAACTGCGGAGGGATAAGAGGGCGGATGTTACCACGCGCGCGCGAGTGGGAGGGGCCTCAGAACGAAAGGAGCCCATTCCAGGCCCCGGGGACCCCCACTCACCAGGTAATCCTCTTCACAGTACACCGAGCCGTTGACGCTGTAGAAGGCCTTGCAGCGCAAAGTTCGCCCTGGAAGCAGAGGCGGGCCTGGAGCCTCCATCGGGGCTGACCCCCCCCCCACACTCCGGGGGCAGGTATCCCGATGCCTCAGGGTGTGTTTCATCCTGGACTTTATCTAGTGTCCTCGCTCACCACACAACCATCCCATCTGACGCAAGACCAGTTTGCTTTGGCGTCATTCCAACCAACTTCCCTTGTCCTCTGCTCACTGCTGCTCCAGCCCCCGGGGTACTTATGGGGGGGCCACTTGGGCAAGTCATTGGAGTGAAAAAGGCCACCAGCAAGGAGCCAGCCATGCAACTTGTGTAGAGAGAGCCACATGGTCACAGGCCCAGCTGGCCTCTGGTCTTCCTATCTAGGACCCTCTGGCTCTCAGCCCTCCTGCTTCCTCCGGGGACAGGCTCCAGGGAGGTCAGCAGATATTGGAGTTACTGCTGGGGACAAAGTGCTTCATTTGGGAGTAAACCCAAACCCCTTTCCTGTTGCACCAGGCTGTTTAGAGGGAGCTGGTGTTTCCCGGGTCTCTGCAAACAGACAGGCAGGCCCGCTCCCTCCTGTGTCCGAACTGACAAGGAAGGTCTGAGCAAGTTCTCCTTTCCCACTTCGTCCCATCCCGCCCACCTCTGCCCAGGGGTTCACGCAAGCTGACTTCAGAAAGCCTGCTCCAGGAGAGGCCCTGTGAACATGACGGACAGACAGCTGAGACGAAAGAGAGCCCAGATGGAAGGTTGAGAGAAAGGCTGAGCACTGGAGTCAGACAGGCAGAGATAGGAGATTAAAGGTTTAGCAAAGGAATCAGAATGGGCAAGCAGCAGGGACAGGGTGAGGTGGGAGGGCTGGGCGGGGAGCCCCCCCTCCAAGCCGGGCCTCCAGAGCTAACAGCAGTGGGCATTCCTGCAGCGTGATGTCATCAGCTTGGCATGGCCCGGTGGCCTGCACTCTCGTGAGGTGGCTGAACTCTGACCAGCCAAGAGAAAACCCCCCTCTCCGCCCCCCATGGCTCCCCACTCCCCTAGCCCACCCCCCACCCTTCCCACATTCCTGTCTTTCACTGTCGCCCCAGGCAACTCGGCTGCCCAAGACCAAACCCCACCAAGGAGAGACCAGCAGCAGGGCTGGGGCGGGCGGGAGTCCAGGCAGGGCT